AAACAACACGATCTAGGAAATTATTTATATCATTCATTTGATCTGGAGTCTCTAAGAGGTTGGGGTTGATGAGATACTTAGGCGGATTAAGAATGTTCATGTCAACTTGGAACTTTTTTATATCATCCATATGGTTGCAGTTGTGATTATCATCACTGTTTACCAATAGAGTCCTCAACATGCCTGAAATGGAGACAGCTGGTGTAAACTTGACTGCTTTCGGATGAACAAAGTAGTTCGTCTCGTCGAAACTCTCGGAAATCGTGTCGGTAGTAGCATTAGATTGTGTCGTCTTTCCATGTTTGACTGGACGCATTGAAGCATGGGCATTCGTTTTCGTTGGTGAAATGATAAGAAAGTGATAAATAGCAGATGGAGTGAACGAAATGTTGGAAATAGAAATGAGTGAAAAGTCAATGCCGAGGGTTCAAAACAGTTTAGAAATCAAAACCTATGTTTGAAGCAAGGGTGAATATATCGTATGGATTAGTGAAGGTATCAAAAACAGGAGGGTAGAATGGCAGGAAGATTGTAGTAAAGATGCAGTATGTGTGTCAGTACATTTGTGGAGGTAAGATAAAGGTGCACATTGTGTGAATTTTAACACATATATTACACGGAAAGATAGCCTCATATAAAAATTATTACAATCTACGATTATTGTGGTACTTTGCGACCATATATATGAAACAGCTTTATGGATAAAAATACTTACCGAAATCTATGACAGATTCGCCGAATTGAACAGGTAATTTCGGAAATTAAATGAGTTATAGCATCCAAATACAATTTAAAGGCTAGTATATAAAATAGTGAGTACAGTGCTTTGTCATACACGATTACATATGTATCTTGATATTAGGTAGAGGTATGAATAGATCCCGTGAATACATAAAGTACGTGGGTTATAGCATCCAAACAAGATATGAGGAATAGAATGAAAATATGAAATGCAATTCTTTGTCGAGTATGAGTATATATGGTTTCGCATATACATGGTTCTTGTTCGATCGTATAGCCAAAATGAATATGATTAGGAATTATTGTATGAATACGATCATATATACCATGAATATGTTGAACTGAGATCTTATCATATAGTGTAGAATTATGGTCTACTATGATATTAGCACTGCTCTTATAATAGACCTAGTCCTAAATTTGTAGATTTGTCATGATATAACTGCCTAATCTATAAGATCTTACGTGGAAGTCACACCATCGACTACACCAACTCACTGTATCGTATCAATTATCAATATATGATGTAGAACAAGGTTAGGCTAGAGAAAGAACAATATATTTAATATGAATAGAAGATATAAGGTAACATTCAGCAGAGACCACGCCTGCATGGCCGAGCCATGCCACTCGATCAACTCCAGTCCATTCAATTCATTATTCGCGCCTTCCCCACCGTTGGGTATTTCTCCGCGTTAAATATTGAATATCTATTTTCTGAGTAGTCTCGTGTTCACAGCTTTGTGGATTGTGTGGCTATTGTCCAATGCCACTACAATAGCATGAAATTTACAATTTATATTTAAATAGATAAGAATTGAGTTATTTTCCGAAATTCTAGGAGAAAAATCCATTCAGCGCTGTAAGAATCCTAGAAAAACAAAACTGAGGGCCTCGGCCTGAAAGCAACGTCCAGTCCGTAGCGCGCACTAGTTAGGCCTATGCTAATGGAAAGAAAGCTGAACAGTCAAGTGGAAAAAATGTCCATTGATTTCTAAAAATCGACAGAAATCTCATATGTATGAACTCTCAAGTTACGTATCGACATAGCCTCTACATATTTATGGCCCCTTCTTTTTTATTCTTATTATCGAATGCCAACCGTTAGGACTGCGCTCAAGCGTCCAAAAATAAATATGACAGGACGACTTAGTGAGGCGTATAAACCTCATAAGGTTAAACGCACGAGTACAAGAAGCAAAATATGTCGAAACTGTAATTTACTGAACGAAGCAATCACATTTAAAACAACAGATCTTAGATTTTCGCGCTAAATTCACCCACTTATTTGGCTAAGTTGCGTCTTGGCATTTTAGATGATGTCAATTCGTGATGAAAAACCCTAAATCGAATTCCTAACCATAACCATCAACTAGAAATCATAATTCTAATCCCTCACACTGGGTTACCACCCGCATTTGGTCCGAGTTATTAGATTGACACTCTCAAGGTCACTTTAGCGTCTCTCAAAGGTTTTCCATAAATTATAGTCTCACCCAGAAAACATAGGAGGAAAAATCCAATATAGATAATTATTGCCTCATCACTAATCGTAAAGAACTGAGGACAACTAAAATGCGTTCCACAAACATTAGGGACTGAAATCATGGCCCTCACCATCTACGTTTGCTGATCAGTAATTTCAACCTCCATCTTTCTTAGATAAAAAGCCCTTTTAAAGTGATGGTTAGATTAGAATTATGCATCAACTAAAAGATATTTATTCCACACCCTGAAAGTGAATACCGGCTCTACAAGTACCTAGAACAAGCAAACTGGACAGTTAAAACCGATAGACAGTTCATGGGACACCGAAATAGTAATGCATAACGGCATAAAGCCTGGGACTTCAGACAAAATGTGTCAACAGAAACAAACTAATAGGTAAAAGAATTAAGTAATCTGTTTGTCAAAGCCAAAAAACATTTGAGCGATCATTTGTTCGGACTAATTTTGTCACCGGACTCTACAGTTATTAATTTATAATTATTGTGATATTTTACAAAGTTCAGAATCATGCACGCATTATTGAATTTGACTATGTCAAGCGTAAAATTGATGTTTTTTGCGTCCGTTACGACATAAATGCTTCAAAATTGTGTGATTTTTCAACTGGAAATGTCATCTAACAAAGATCAGAATGATTTATACTAGAGTATCAAGTTATAATCAACAAGATAGAAATAAAATAAATCATATGGATAAAATCCATAGGGGGGAAATTTCCATCATCGACAAATTATCTTTTATTTCTTGTGAAGTTACTGGTTTGGTCGGGAAGATTACATGTAACTTGGCGGCGTGAATGTCCTTTTGACATATCTCTCGAGTCGACTTATTAAAATATCACCCACTAGAAGTTAATGTTCGGACAGCAATAAAATGGTAAAAATTGAAACTGGTGGAGAATAGGTAGGAATAGACTCACATTATCTATGCTGGAAACGGTTTTACAGACAGTTTCTGAGTGTTTCCATTTTTCCACTCAGGTAGCCTCTTCATTAAGATTTATTGAGTAATGGTGCAAGTTATTTCTAAGGTTTTAGTGTGTGCATCACCATAAATAGTAAGGCGAGACGTTTTGGGTATCAAAAGAGAACTCAGGAAACATGTTTGTTTGATGGTTATGATAAAGGATTACGCCGTGCATAGCACATGGAAAACGAATGATGTGTGTGGTGTCATAGAATGGTCATAGGATGCCGATACGCCTTACGAATAGATGGGCAACTAATTAGTTTATGGACAAAAACATGCAAGCATCCAAGAAGCCCTTAGGGTTAACATGTGAATACATGAAAAGAACAGGAATTGGTGTAGGAAAGTAATTCTCCCTGCTATTATAAGTTGTTTATACAAAACAATGATCCTGCCGATTTTGGTGTGTTCCTGCAGTCTTTATATCTGTAGTAAGGTTATGTGATTAAGGTTTATATCTTGTGTTATATATTAGTCTGACATTACACTGTTAGATACGTTTGCGTTACTTGGGCCTAGGCCGGTACTAGTGAACGTATGTATGCTACTATAACAATAAATGAAATCCATTAGCATAAACTTTCCGTGATATAACGACCTAATCTATAAGATCTTACGTCGAAATTTCATAGTCGTCTGTACTGACTCGTCCTATTGTGATAGCACGTGATGTTTTTTCCAAAATACCATTACAGAATAAATTCACGGTTGTGACACAGTGATGTATTTAATTTGAAAGGTAAGAGGTTTCACAAGATGATCAATCTGGCATTACCGACCGCGCCATCTCTATTGAGTGCTTTCATGTCAACCATTTTCGGACTTACCTAGGTGTTCAACGGCCAACGTAAGTTTTACCAGTTATCATATATTCAACTTCAAGGATCGTGTGGCTGGGAAATAATGTCTCTATGAGTTTACTTGAGAATTTGTGCATATTAAAGCGCACCAACTTAAAGCTGCTCTAAAGTTTATGTATTTTAGTGTTAATTTGTCTCTGGTTTATCACTCAGTTATGAATGTTATGATCTCCCGATCTATGCGCATGTTTCCGACTTCTCCTAGTTTACTCCTTAGTTCTCCTACGCCGCTGTAGAGGCACTTGATGGTTTGTCCCACTACCTGGTACTCCTCTTCAGCACCATTGGTTTTCTGGTTTTTAAGCAGATCGTTTTTTAAAGCGTGTTAGTCGATTCCTAGCCGACCGGCTCCTGTGGGCTTTTGCGACTTGTATGGAGTACCTCACTAGCAAGACCGTGGTCTCTGTGTTTTGTACCGTAGTTTGTTGATCATGGTCAGCAGACTCAGTAGTGTGTTTGTTGGGCCTTTTCACTATCGCCTTGCCGATCTGGATCGACTTACACACCTGATGTGACTGAAGAGATGATTTTTGAAACTTACTAGGCCTGAAGCGCCTCAGTCATGTCCTCTCAGTTCCTGAAGTTCACAGCCATCAGATGAGGAAGCCTGATGGTCGTGAGGTGTAAAGAGAGAGATAGTCTGCACATGCTAGTTGTCATGGCGATGTAAAGGCCTATGTTGTTGATAGTCAGCACCGCTGCTGAACGTTGTATTTGTGAGTACAATAACTGCTATCTATTAGCTCGGTCACTATCTGAGCACGGAAATATTAGATACTTAATCACTTACATACGCTTTATAATCTTAATGGAAGAGCTTAGGCCGCTCACCAGCATTCTTCACTCAACCCTATCATAAGCAATCCTTTCCAGTTGCTGAGAATATTGGATACTGAAGATTATTTTTGTGAAGTCTAGGCCGTTTGTAAAGGCATTCCGCAACTTTACGAATCCTCGGTCGAAGTGCTGAATCCCATACGGACTTTACATATTCTCACGGTAAAACACTAATTAATATCACTAGTTTTAATGAGCAATTAATTACCGGGTTGTGCTCGTTTATTGTTATTTCGGTACGGTTACAGGTTTTTTTCCAGAAGCTCTTAGAGCTGATCTTGCTACATATTCATGTGGCCCTCTTGATATGTAGCTTCAAAAAAGGTTCAAAAATCTTGTGTGTAGTCACACCCTGCCCTGTTTTGTCTTAAATGGGGGTTGAAATAAAAGAATGATGTTTTGGCTCTTGTTATTTATATGTGAAATGTATGTTGGGATTCACTCACTATCGCTTTATATATAATGATTATTGTTATGCCTCATCTCTTGTTATAACATTGCTCGCTGTGTTTATTTAATTATCTATCCGCTCATATTACTTTCTTGATTGACTAATAAACTTGTTTGTTTACCAGAGACTCATATCTTTCAACTATTTTTCTTGATTCAAACCGTAAAATCTTTAGTATTAAAGTCAACAGACCATTTATCCTATATCACAATAACAACCCCAATGTTCTAGGGTGAACGCAACCATCTATTTATTATTGCTTAACTGGAAAGAGCTGGTACATTTGAGTATCTATACTGTCAATATTAAGCGGTAATGAAATTCTGGAACCGAACCTCAACACCGAAAGGCGAGCGCGAATAAGTCGATCAGTCCGTACTAGCTCGCCTCCGAGATATTAAAAACTGGGCCCCACATCCCTATAGATGGGTTACATGTAAAGGTCATACGTTTTTTGGCGAGACTAATTTAGCGACGACCTTTGAACGAATCTCAAATGACCCTGACAATTATTAGTCAATCAGAAGACAGGATAAAGTAAAAATATATTATAAAACACTAATGAATTACAGTGGGTATTCTTCTTTTACATGAGTTAAAAAGTTGTTTAGGTTCGAAAAAGGTTCAGAAGTCCTGAAATTGTAATGCATGCTGTAAAGAAACTCGTCCATGTGGCTCCATAACAGTCGTCCTCTAGGGCCGTGGTATGGTCTTAATAATTCCTTCAGTCTGGACCACATAGCTTCAATATTGTTTGTGTGAACTGTCGTCGGGTCGACAAAATGGCGTTTGTGCACTACAACACGATGCACAAACCCAAGTCTCTCGAGGCATCTGTAGGCTCTCCAATCATCCGTATAGATCGTCGTGCCAGGCTGGGCGTATTCCTCTATCATTGGTATTATTGTCCTTGCCTGACGGTTCCTCACTTTTTGTAAATGTCCCTTTTGAGTAGAACGATCGTAAAATCCAAGTACCTGTCAAGTATATTTACGGAAGTACTACTTACCCAATCTTCCTTAATAGAACGTCCTTTGTTGTATTTTCTCTTTCTAACTAGTGTCTCGTCTATTTCCACTATCCTTCCAACTCCTCCAAATGTTTCATGTACTTGTGTCATTTTGGTCGCGCATATGTCGCGGCAGTACTCATACCACTGGACCGCTGAAGTTTCAGTAACGTCTGCAAACGCCGCAGCCAGTGTTACTGGTGTTCTTATTACCCAGTTCGCCACTGTTATCATGCAGAACAACGAAGCATTATTTCTTCATGGTGGTCTCCAGACTTTGCTGCAGTCGTTTGATGACCGCAGTCACACGTACATGAACTTCTCAATAGTCCCTTCTGTTGTAACCTCTCAATAATCACATCTGTAAAATCCGCTGTGAAACGATCGTATGTCAGCATCGGGTGTTGAACTTGCCTCCATGACCTTGAAATTACTTGAACGCTTCTGATTAGTTCGTCGCTAAATTAGAGTCTCGCCGGGTTTTTTTATATTCTCTATTCAATTGTCAGTAGTCTACGACTCAAAACTGAAGGATGGCCCTAGTTTCGGTTTTAGTGGAAGATTACAGGTACTCTTTAAGTATTAGATCCTAGGCTTAGGGTGACTTCTTGGCCTATGGACTTGATTTCCAATTATCTACAAGTTTTTAATCCGATCTACATACTTTAGTTTCGGGAAGCTCAGTAGTTCTGGTTTTTACTATATTGAATAAATACCAATGTTTGACAAAGGAATTTGTATTAGTTTATTGAGTTCCATCAAGTTCCTGGTTACATCAGTATTCACAACTGCTACATGGGTCACTTTATACCATGGTAAGTTCAGGGTTTTGAAGACCCAAAGCTGTCATCTAATAGCTTTATTATCAATGTATTAGTCTGTAAAAGCTGGGAACTTTCCAGGAAAAGGAATTTTACTAACTATTGTGTAAGGGACGGTTAAAGTGGTTGGGTTTTTAGTTGACAAACCATTTAATGATCTGTAGTGTGAATTTCATCGTGATTCCACACTTTCAAATGTTATATTATTGATTTCCTACCTCACCCCACAGAAAAATAATATAGATATAAAGTCTTTCATTTTTCTGTCAGATTTGACTCAAGTACACCAATATATATATATATATATATATATATATATATATATATATATATATATATATATATATCACAAAACAATTGTTTTTTTGACTCCATTTACAGTTTGTTCCTTGAATACAACACCTTTTTTATTACTCTACTCAAAAACGCTTGTGTCTGCAAGGTTTAGATAACTCATAGAATTTTTTATAGTCGTGTTTATCTTCAGCACATTGTCAGTAACTTAAATAGATAGCACTATTCACAGTCTATCATTGGTTATCAGTCATTCACTATATTGTCAAGTGAATCCTTTGTAGTTTCGTGAATATATAATAGCATTAGACTTAGTATTTCATTTAAAAAATTACAAAGAACCTGTGATAATATCGTATAATTCAATAGATACAAATAACTGAAGGTTTTTTTTATTTTAGTTATGTGGATGCAAAGACCAGCTGTGATCAATTGTCCTCCGGGCCTTGAGTACTTGACCCAAATTGACCAATTGCTGATTAAGCAGGTGATTGATGCTATCGAAAGTGAGAAGACAATACCTTTCAGTCTATTTCATAATCGTAGACATACACTTTTTAGTGTATTCTTTTTAATTCTAAAGATAATTATTCATGGAATGATTTCGTGAAAAATAACATTAGACCTAAATAGATGTGTATAGGTATTAGCATTTATGTGAGAACTAGTCGCAACCACATTAGTTACCAATACTCTTAATTATATTCATGAACTAGAGTGTTTTAGTATCACTTATTTTTAGTTTTCTGTACCTCAGCAACAATTGTTTCTGTGGTTGTGAAAATCAGTGCTCAAGTGGGGATTAAGTTTTATAACCCTAATTTTACTTATATGAATTTTACGAGTGTCAGTAAATAGTTAACCGCCGTCATTATAAAATGTAAGAAAATATTCCGTTGTTTATTAACTGATCAATGACAAAAAAACTTCAGGAATCGTAAAGTATCTGCTAGTAATTTATGCCTGATTAGACATCTGCATTAGCATATAGCTTAACAATTACAGTGAGTTTATTTAAAGAGTTAATAGGTTTTTACATATAACATCACCTCAAAATATGGTTCTGCTTACAAATAGTACTGGTAATCTTGGTGCTTTATATGGACTGTTGATAAAAAACTTAAGCATATATCTGAAACTGCTCATAAAACAGCTTAATAGTTACTTTTAATTATCTCGCTTATGCCGGTTAATAATCACAGTATTGTCGATTTTTCGGTAGAAATTTTGCTATGTGAATCTGTCAGTAAGGATTATTAGACGAGTTTATTTTAATCTACAGTAAGGAACGTATGCAGAGCTTTCATTGTGATTCTGGGCAATGTTATCGTAGATTTTTCATCAATTTTCTACATATTCTAATTAGCCATCAAGTGACCTGCTATTAATTTACACGTTTCATCCTTTTACTGGTTTCTGCATATCTTCCTTCCACCAACCTTTCCACATTGTTATGGACTTATGCTTGCTTAGTTAGTGTTTGCGTTTAGTACTTACAAATTAGCCTAAGCCATCTTCAAGTTAGATTCGAGATGGGTGGTAATGTTTCTAATATTCACATTATTTGTTGTGTTAATCAAATGATCTTTTTAGTCATAATGATTCTCTTCCGAATAATTATTTTTATCATTTTTGGGAACTTTAGTTATTTCGGTAATCTACGTTTGCACAAATTGCCTTTCGAAACTTCCTCAAAAAGTTAGGATCATTTAGTTTACTTTCAAGTTAGAAACCGTTTACTCACAGTCCGATGGGTTGAAAGGAGAAACCAACCGAAATCTCCTCATATGTTGGAAGAGTAAATAATTATGTGTTCTTGTGGTTGATGAATTGGGTATACATGTTTTGAGCTCAAATAGAAGCTTTATTACGGTCCCAGTTGATAATCTTCAGTCGTAAATAAAGGTTCTTGACAAGGTAATTACTGCCATTCACTTTGTTAGTAACATAGTTCCGTCGTTATCTATAACCGTTGCAGTGATTCTCTAAAAGATCAGTTACCTTCCTAAATGTTTTAACTGAATCTATGTGCATGTCAATGTACTTGACAAATATTTTACTAGATTTTTTATTAGCTAGACTTGCTAATGAAATCGTCAAGTATGTTCTTATTCATCTTATACATTGGAGCAAAATCTGTTTGATGCCTGGTATCTCATCAAGTAAGCGACTTTAAACAAAATATCTTCAATTATCGCTGCTGTTCCAATGAGTTTCATGAATCAGCGAAAATTAGTTCTAGGTAGTTCTTATCAACTCTTCACGAGAACTTTCTGGTAAAAGACGTAAGGAGTGGAAAACAGATATTAGCAGATAATTGTTTGTATTTGTTAACGTTACCTCAGAAAAAGTAGTGACCAGCTAAGCTTAGCTGGTAAAATAATTCAGTGATTTATTCATAGCAAATAATCAGACAAACAAACTTTGGAAGATAGTTTATCTATTTTCAGCTTGTATTAGGCTACGAAGTTGGTTTAATTTTGAATCAGTTTAAAGTTGATGTTTTCAACATATGTATTGCTTAGATTTGACATAGCTAATTTTTTTCAGTATGAGTTTTTTAACAACATTACTGAGATATATTAATGAAGTTCTAAATTAAAAGTCGCTCGTTAAGAGAGTAGACACAACGTGATAGGTTTGACAATGTAAACAAAAAATAATTTTGAATTATATTTGCGTGCTTGATATTAAATAAAGGTACTGATAAGTCCTATGATAAAGCTTACCAATAACGTGTTCAGTGCGGCTTCCATTCTTAAAGATTATTAAACTTAATTAGCTTCTATTGATAGTATTTTGCATTTTACGCAAGGAAGTTGTTTGAATTCGCTTACCATGACATATTTTTCCCATACAACTGCATACAGCATTCGTGCCTTATGAAGTGCAAAATCGCTATACCTGCTACAACACATTGGGACAAAGTGTATATCGATGTTACGAAGGTAAGTTATATAAGTGTTTTAAGATTTACTGTAAAATTTAACACTGGAATTTTATTTCAAATATATTGCTAAGAAACGGTGCTTGCTTGTTTCAAAATGAGAATATGTTATAAGTTAACAAGACAATAGCAAGACGATAGGATCATTAACAACAAAATAATAACCCCCGCGATAATCTTACAAAACATCAAATCAAGTTGTTTGTTATCTAAATAACGGTTTATTAAAATAATCCATAGTGTCATTGAATAAGAAAAAGAGAATTCAGCGAAGAAAGTTTTCTTTTCGACGAAATCATTTACTTAAGCTGTACATTCGTATATATAGTTATATGGAAAATGTATGTCTATAGAACGATAGAATGGATTGTATCACAAAAAATGGATTCGACAATAACAAATGAGGTTAACGTACTAATCAAGGGGTAAGGAAGAACAAAATTTAAGGGTCAGATATTAGTCCAATTGATAGATATGAAGAAAAACGACAAAACAACAAAGGTCATAATAATAAATGATTAGAGTTTAAAGTACAAAATAGTAATTTAAAAATATCGATAATAATAAAAGTGCAGGAAAAAACACAAAAACAAACCTAGAAACATACCCATTAAGGGAATTAGGACCAGGGAAGGATGAGAGGTTGGACAAATCGTATCTGCACGCAAAATTCAGGCTTTAGTTTGTGGATTGCCAATGCCTCTGCGGTGCATAAAATATTCTGTAAACAAATAGATGGAGTTGCAATGGGCTCTCCATTGGGTCCTCTCCTGGCTGATTGTTTTATGGCGAACCTAGAAAATTCGGTACTTCGACCAATAATTGAAAGATTTCATTTATATAAAAGATATATGTATGACACTTTCATTATTTGCGAAGAAGTTAGTGACCTCAATGATATTTTGAATATTTTCAATAACTGCCACCCATCAATCCAATTCACCTTAGAAGCAGAGACAAACCACGAATTTCATTTTCTCGATATCCATTTAAAAAAGAATGCCTGACGGTCTATTACAGAGATCGATATACAGAAAACCCACTTGGAATGGACAACACACGAACTTCCACAGTTGGGTTCCATTAATTAGAAAAAGGAACTTAATTCATTCTTTACCCTCAAGGATCAGGCGAATTCGTTCCAATGACAATAGATAGTTTACAGAGTCAAAGGAACTGGATCGAAAGGGGTTCGAATCAATATTTTATGCACCCCAGAGGCATTGGCAATCCACAAACTAAAGCCTGAATTTTGCGTGCAGATACGATTTGTCCAACCTCTCATCCTTCCCTGGTCCTAATTCCCTTAATGGGTATGTTTCTAGGTTTGTTTTTGTGTTTTTTCTGCACTTTTATTATTATCGATATTTTAAATTACTATTTTGCACTTTAAACTCTAATCATTTATTATTATGACCTTTTACGAGTTTTCTTGATTATTATTCAGTCTATTGTTATGACCTTTGTTGTTTCGTCGTTTTTCTTCATATCTATCAATTGGACTAATATCTGACCCTTAAATTTTGCTCTTCCTTACCCCTTGATTAGTACGTTAACCTCATTTGTTATTTATTGTCGAATCCATTTTTTGTGATACAATCCATTCTATCGTTCTATAGACATACATTTTCCATATAACTATATATACGAATGTACAGCTTAAGTAAATGATTTCGCCGAAAAGAAAATTTTCTTCGCTGAATTCTGTTTTTCTTATTTAACGGTTTAATATCAAAACTCTTTTTACTATGCTAAATGTATGGGTGTTATAAGAAACCTTAAAAATAACAACACCGTTCTGCACTTTTTAAATATTTTATGACTAGTCTTCTCTAGTGTATTTGATTATTACTGTTGATTGTTTTATTTAGACTGTGTTATTTTGTAAATACAGTTTACTAATGATATCGACATTTTAGTTAGAGCTAAGTTTCAGGAAGTAGAGAAACCAGCGGGGGTGTTAATTAGCAGTTACCAGCCAGTTATATCTGCGGGTTTTCGAACCTTAGCCTTGTTGTGCTGACGTTGAAGACGTTACTTCTGAGCGTTTTGACCCTTAGCTAGCATACTTTTCAACCACTGACTACGGGCTAAACCATGTGTTATTTACTGAACGGTAAATGATCAATGTAAAGTATCAAGTGTAATTTTTCTAAGTTCTTTCATTGGTTAAAATACAAAACCTAGGTTGCAGAGTATTCGATTGTCGATTCGGTTAGTTCTGAGAACCATACAACGTAATACTGAATATAAAAAAATAATATATTTGCAATATCCCAATGAGTAGAAAATTGGTCAGAAAATCTGATTTTTTACTCATTGGGATATTACAAATATATTATTTATTTAAAACAATCTACTCAATGCTCAATTTATTCGAAATTATCAAATCAAACCTTGGTAATGATACATACGCAGTACTGAATAGTGTATTCCCACTAAGTGATGTGTTTAGCTTCCATTGTTTTCAAATTGTCTGAACAATATTTTTATTATCTTGATTAATGAGTGATGCAAAACAGGTATATTTATTCGTATATAAATTTTAACGGTACTAATTAATTTGGGTTTTGTAATCTTTCTATTTTACGTAGAATCTGACTTTTGTTCACGTGCATTCTGTGGAGCATCAAGACCTTTCGTATTACATATTTTAAACAATAATAACTCTGAAGTTATCCGTGCAATTCGACCTTTTCGATGTGATTGTTACCCTTGTTGTTCGTAAGTATAATAAGTTTTTTTTCTTTTATGATATCACCTTTACTGTTTTACTTGGAATACAAGTGTTTTTTTCCACGGTTTTACTTATTGTAATGAAAATACTGAAGTTTTACTTTAAAAAAATTGATTATTTATTTGCGTAATTTCTTTTTCACAAGCTGATCAAATTTACATGGTAAAGACACTTTAATTTATGACTAAATAATTTATGTAAATCAATGATGTGTTATGAGATTTACAAAAATCTTATAATAATGCTAAAGAAGTACGTACGTCATAACATCAATCTTGAGATTGAGATTCATTATTAATTGCCGAGGAAATTCTAACGTAGGAACAAATTATTTTTAAATACTTCAAAGAGGATCTGAAAACAAAAATTACGAAAATATCAACAGACTTACATTTACACTCATAGTAGCATCTGTAGAAAAAGATTTAAAACTTTTCAAGTTGATCTTATGACTAATTTCTATCAAATGTTTATCTATTAAAAAAAAGGTAGTTGTTTGACATAAGTAGTTTTTGTCCCAGCTGTTTTGAAGTCATTTCACACTAAATTGCATTTGTTCATTCCTTCTTGTATTCATTTCAACTCACATTGAGACGCTTATTTAATGGTGAAGTATGTATAATAATATCCTGAACACTTACAAACCTGCCTGGACAAAATACTTTATTGCTAACTGATTTTGATTATTCTTAATCTCTGTTCTTCTTGTCCCCATTATATCAGTGGTTTATCGAAAGGGTTTGACGTTAGTCTAATGTCAGTTTATTCAGTTCGGTATGCATTTGTGAAAGTAACCAATCTACTCCCAATTATTTCAGTAAATTTTTTTATGTCCACAGATTTTGTACACATGACGAACATATCTTAATTTTTGCTACATATTTTCTTATTGAGTTATTCTAATTCTGTTCTTAAATGTTTTAAGTCATCTGCTTGATATCTTTTCATGTGTACACTAACCTTCCAACTTGTCTTTGCATCATATTTTTTCATTTACAATTAGTTTAGTAAAAATTAAATTTCTATCTTAATACTTACATTTTACATACATCTTTTATACGTCTAGATTATTACATTAGCTTACATCTCCGGCTGTAAACCTAAATAAGTAATGGGGCTTGATCTCGTTATACTAGTACAAGCTTGCTACATATTCTTATTTTTTCGAGAAATATATTAGAGCTTTTGGTCAGAGCCATAAATGTTTCAGTCTTGAGAATACAACCGTGAAAACATGAGGATGGATTAGTTTCCACTAGCAAACAGAAAAATGTTACATACGAAACAACAATTGAGGCTTTAGGTATGCAAAAGAAACTTAAATTTTCTCTGATTAGCGAACTAGTATTGATATATTTTCACTTCTGAATTTGCTATACAAATAAGCTTATTCCAAAGTCATTTGAAAGTCCTTACATTAATTTATGGGCAGTTATAGAAGTTAAGTATTTTACACTCCCGAGCTTCTATATATATAAGTAATGAAGTAATTAGCCCTTGATTTTTGTTTTCCTACACGAGGTTAGTTGAGTAAAAGAGGAATTTTGTGAATATTGGCCATTATCTTTGAAGTATACTGCACCAATAACGTAAAATTTATTAATCATTCCCATCAATCATAGGTGTACTTTTTGGACAGTGTTTTGATCAATTCTAAATGAAGAACTGTTCATTTAGAATATTATGTGAGGAAAATAATGTTTAACTGTCAACAAAAAACAGAAAATACGACAGATTCATACAAACTCAAAGACAATGAGGTATTCAATTTGTGTTCACTTTGTACAGAATTCAAGATTAATCAATGCTATATTATTATAGGTAAGCTAATGATATAAGACTTGAAGATTAACACATACTATCTTGAACGCTGTGTTCCATTTTCACCCTGGTCATGGATTCAACTTATGAAACCAACATTTTTGAATGAGGTTTAGTGTGGTCATTAGTTCATGTGATGGCGTGTTATGACTACATCATCAAGGCTTTTCCATTCGTGCTTTAGTTCAAGTTAGAACTGTGCATCAAAGTAAGGGATTGTCACCTTGCCCAGTTTGAAGGCTGTTAAGAAATAACAGTATATTGGTGAAAAGATGGCTAAGAAAATGATGCATATTATTGAGAATGTAGTGGTGCTGGTAATCCCTCGCTGGTTTCAGTTTACATTTGGTGTATTCTTCTATGGGTTAGTTATCTCCATCCTGTAACCAGTAGAACGGGGAAAACAGTCATTCTCCTTTTCGAATTCGTCTATTGATTTGGTTTCTTTCGATTCTGTCGAGTACTGTAGTGTCACCAACCACTGCTTAACTAACTGTAAGTACACAGTTTAGTTTGTGATGTAAAAATATGGTTTAGATTATTGTTGACTACGAACAAATCCATCATTAGTGAAACTACTTTTATCAGGGATTGATTACGTTTGCTACCGTAACATGATTTCCTAATGTAATTTCTGAGATCAGATTGTCTCGTTTTGTAAAAGTTAATTGATGTGTTAATTGATTTGGTCTAGGTGTTTAGAATGCTGTCAAGAGGAACTTGAAGTTCAGTCTCCAGCTGGAAATTGTATCGGCTACGTGAAACGAGTATTTAGTGGTTGTGATCTTGATTACCACATTTTGGATAGTAACCAGAGTACAGTTCTGCAAATACATGGTCCATCATGTTGTTTTTGTGAATGTTTAGGATCGGATATAATATTTAAGGTATACTTTCTTATTGACATTTTAATTATTGCTTCTGTTGACGATTAATATTGGCAAAATATACTTTATTTGTCACTTTGTATAATCTTGTCCATTGTGCTACTTGAAATTATTGGTAATCCACTTTATCAGAAGGGGGTTTTTTGGGATTTTAGAAATTTCACTGATTGAAATCATGAGTCAATTGAGGGTAGACCACCATGGAAAACCTGGAAACACTGGCTGGCCGTTTCGTCCTAGTATGGGACTCCTCAGCAGTGCGCATCTACGATCCCGCACCCCGCGAAATTCGAACGCAGGATCTATCAGTCTAGGAGGAAACGGCCATCCAGCGCTCCCAGGTTTTCCATAGTGTTCTAGCTTCAATTGACTCATGATTTCAATCAATGATAATCTACTTCGTCTGGTTTTTTTGTATCCTTTTTCTTTCGGATTTCGTACATCGTTCATAGTGTACCTGTCATATTTATTGGAATTTTTGTTTGTGTGATTCTAGTCTCTGCTTATCAAAAGGTTAGTTCTTTAATGTTTTAGGAAAGAAATTAAGCTTAGTTAAAAATTTGCTTAGTGTACAAAGATCGGTTGTGAAGTGATAAAAATCTGTAACTCGGTTTTATTTGTTGTACATTGAAATCAGTCTTTACGGAATATATAGTCTGTTTCAATGTCTTTTGTTAGATGCCAGATATTTGCAAAAGTTTTCTATTTTCCTGCCTGTGAAATCACCATAGATTTTGTTTTCCCGCCTCATCTCCATGCATCAAGAAAAATCACCGATGAACAGTTGAAATACAAATTTGTTTCATTATTATCATTATTTTAGATTCTTCACGAACTTTTATTTTATTGTCACTACACTTCAAACTTATTTCGTTCATTTCTTGTGTACTTCAATGATTGTTGACGTTGACTACTTGATTGAGGTCTTCGTGATAGCCGTGATCTGTGGTTGGAGTGATACGGCTCAGAATTGTTCACAATAGAATAGACGCATTTTCTCTTCTCAGTATTTCTCCAGAAATGCCTCTCCATTCTACTTTTCTAAACTCTATTCTCAATGCTTCATCATGTTCATCCTCGTTGCAACTTTATTATTTCTCTTTTTCTATACATCTTGTCAATTTCATCTTGCTGTACTAAGGTGATATGGTAACTTGTGTCAACTCACACCTTTACCAGGCTTTATGTGATGATGACTGACTGACATACAAAGAGACCCGCCGTGATGTTCATCTAACTCATTTAGCTTAAGGATTGTTCGTGTTTGTTTTTACCTGCGGATCTTAGAATTGATCCGGTTAATTAATCTTTAATATCTCTTAAATAATCTTTTCAAGGTAACTTCTGCTGACGGTACTGTCGAAATAGGTAGAATTACGAGAAAATGGAGCAATATTGTCCAAGAATTCTTTACTGATGCAGATAATTTTGGAATTTCTTTTCCGATGGACTTAGACGTGAAAGTGAAAGCGATTCTCTTAGCTGCTGTTTTTCTGATTGTAAGTTACACTTGCTAAACATGATTGTGATTTATTGCGAATGTGATAAACTATTTTTTAGGTTTAAATTTAAGGTTAATATTAATAGAATAATAGAGGGACGTTGAGAAAGTTTTGTTTCATTATGACTATAATTTTGCAACATATCAAATTAGTAAATTAGTCCGGATTTACTGGTCCGTATCTGACTTATACTTACATCACAATCAGTAGCATATTTATCATTGTTTCTTAGATTCGGACCTAACTCTGTTTGCTTCAGTTTGCTCGACTTGGCTTTGTGTCTAGTTTACTTAAAAGCAAATACACGACAGTTATTTAAGTACTGAGTTACATTAAGTTTTGTATTGGTTATTTTGCTACTTATAATTTATTTGTTTATCGTTTGGACTTTCTCTCCCTATATATATTTAAATTACTCCGTTACCATCTGAGCTAACTTGTTATATTAATAGTAGACGTTCTATTTTGACTTTGATATTATATTGTGTTCACTGCGAGACGGTATTTATGCACAGGTTTTAATATATGCTCATAAAAATTTCTTTGAATATAGATTTAACTGATTGCTACATTTTAAATTTTTCTTTTATTAGGATTTTAAATATTTTGAAAAGAAGCCAAAACAATAAAATTTTTCGTAGTCTTATCCTTTCATGTCGTTTTATCTGTGAGTATATTCTGTGCTTCGTCTTTTCTTCGCCTGAGCTCATTTATTTGTATTATTTATACAGAAATATGGATATTTTTGATTTTTTAACGCTTTACTTATTGTAATTTTTATTTTGTAGTTATCATTGAATTGTATATGAAAGACTACACTTCCTTGTGTATTTATTCATCCGATTCGCATTCATAACTTGTTCTAATTTTTACTCAGACGTTTGCCTAGACGATTTCTTTGCACCATTTCTTGTTAACCATACTTTCATGAAGTTCTCTTTTTCAGTAAACAACGAGATCACAAGGTTGTTTGAACATTTGACTAATTTGTCAGGTATTATTTTTGTTTTTTTTCAATAATTCAAATGCTTTTGATACTGATTGTATTTTCTTTATTTCTAAAGAAAGCTTTTGATCTGTTTAGTGGAATTGTTTTGTCTTAAAGCTAGATGTATCGGTCATTGTCTTTCCTTTGAATTTGTTACGGTATATTGATCGCTTCCCGACCGTAGCTGCTACCTTGATGCGGTGGTCGGGCTTGCCTATCGTATTGACTCAACCGAGCTATATTGGCTGGGACATGTTCCTGTAGGTTCTACCATGCCATGCAGGTCGATTGGAGAACGGTAAGACTAAAAGCAGCAACTCAAGGTCTGAGGGAGAAGTCGTACTGCTGAACGTAGAGGGGTGTGACAGCAGTAAGGTGTTTCCCTCGGACAACCAGCATCTGCAGCGATGCTGCCTTCCCATAAGGAGGGGTGGAGTTAGAAAAGGTCGACCCTAAAAATGTCACACTTCGTCTTACCTCACGGATTTCCGTCTCCGGCGGTAAGGCCCTTTGAAGAACGGAGCTAACACATTAAAAGCCTTCCACGAAAAGGCTTTGCGCAACCGGCCTCAAGCAGTTGTCCGCTGGGCTCTGCGGTCACGCTCCCAGGTCGTTAAGACCAACACTAGTCCGATTTCCTTTTCAGGTTCCTCAAGAAATACCCTTCCACGGTGTTGGCAGCCGGGAAGTGATATCAGCTCTCATACCCGTAACAGCACGCAAGACCAAGTTGGTCACATTCAAATTCTTCCTATACCTCCTAATACCTGTCATATCTCCACGACTAACCCTTCTCACGTCCCTTTATCACCTCTTACCGCTAGTGCAAACGATTCGAGTACGCGGAACGTTATTCCTGACCTACTGTAACCACTCTCTAAACTACACGTAGGAGCTTTTAACGTCTGAACACTGTGCCAAATAGGACAACAGGCTTCCTCAGTTGGGACTTTAGAATCTCGTGCCATCGATGTGTGCTGCGTCTTCGAAACGCGCATACAGGATCCGAGTAGCGTCATTCATTTGTCAAAATAAAGAACCAACTCGATTCACGCTTCGTGTATCTGAAAGCTCTGATGCTGATTCTCGTGGCCTCGCTGATGTAGGTATAGCATTGATTCCTAGGGCAAAACTAGCTCTGTTAGACTGGATCCCAGTAGACAGTCGTTTGTGCGCTGTCCGACTAAACGGGACAGTAAGGACTCGGAAAGATAGGGACACTCGTCGTTGCCTATTCGTCGTCTATGCCTATTCTCCCACTGACTGCAGCTCAGATGATGTAGGAGATGAGTTTTACAGAAAGCTTTCCGACCTCCGAAAAGCTAGGCGCTCTTATTAAGTAATAGTGGCTGATGACTTTAATGCTCAAGTAGGTTAACTAAGCAAAAGGGAAAGACACCTGCGTGGATATTATGGTGTCGTGACTCAAAGAACAGATGATGGCGACCGTCTGTTACAGCTATGCTCAGATAACCTCCTGTTTCTTGCAAACACTAACTTTAAGCATAAGGAAAAGCATCTTTCGACATGGCGACCCCCTAATTCGTCCCAACGTTGGACCCGAATGGATCACATCGCTATCAGCCACCGATGGAGGGGCTCTTCTATCGAAGACTGTCGCTCATTCTGGAGCACATGCCTAAATTCAGGTCATGTTCTAGTGCGGGCTTGTATTTTGTTGCGTCTTACTGGACGTAGGAAAGACGCTGCAAGGAAACCTCTTAGGGTCCTACCTAATGATAGTCAAGCTAAGAGTATATTTCAGGAACAACTAGGAGAACTGTTAGGCAGCCATGTAAGTAATGCCCACCCCGATGCAGCATGGAATGATATCCGAAAAGCTATGAAAACAGCAGTGGTATCTGCTAGTATGGTAAACCAAAAGGTTAGGGAGAAACACTGGATCTCAGCTGCATCTACCGCACTGATAGATGCTCGAGAACTCATTCCATCTGGTTGTGAACATAACGAAGAGCGGAGTCAGCTTAAGCGCAAGCTGACAAGAAGCCTACGCAATGATCGTGAACAGTGGTGGGTAGCGAAAGCAAGAGAGATGGAAAAGGCAGCGGCAATAGGTAATAGCAGACAACTCTTCCGACTTGTTAAGAAAACTGGTATTAGGAACGCAACTGTTAGTGAAACTCTCTCGGAAAAAAATGGACACACTACTCACTCTTAATCCGTGAGATTGGGTCGATGGGCAGGAAATTTACGGATCAGTTCAACTGGCCTTCAGCCACAGTTCGGTTTCCCACGATCTCCAGTAGACTTGAATGGCAAGTTGATGTAAGTCCTCCAACTCTTTACGAAGTTGAGAAATCTATAGGAAATCTGAGGCGAGGGAGAGCAGCAGGCCCTGACAGGTTCACTCCTGAGATTTTTAAGGATGGTGGTCCAGTATTAGCAGTGAGATTACTGAGGTCCTAGGTAAAATTTGGGAACTGGACGTAATCCCATCTGACTGGTCTCAATCACTGATTGTGCCAGTCTATAAGAAAGGACAAAAGTCCTCTTGTGACAATCACAGTAGAATCAGTTTGACTAATATAGTGTCTAAAATATTAGCTTCAACAATACTTCGACGCCTAACTAAAGCTCGTGAAGAGTAGACTAGAGAAAACCAGACTGGTTTTCGACCTGGACGTGGTTGTATAGACCAGATATTCACACTACGTCAGGTCCTAGGACATGGACACACATCCAGACGCCCCACAATCGTAGTATTTCTCGACCTTAAGGTGGCGTTTGACTCTGTTCCACTCTGTTGATCGTGAGGTTCTATGGCAGTGTTTGTCACTGAAAGGAGTACCAAAGAAGTACATTAACCTTGTAAGGGCTCTGTACTCGAACACAACAGGTCGAGTGAGAGCTTATGGTGAACTGTCATCAGAATTGATTACCACAAGTGGTGTTCGTCAGGGCTGTCCACTCTCTCCATTCTTGTTTAACTTTGTCGTGGACGTGCTTTTAGAGATGACACTTTCCTCATCTAAATTTCTAGCGGTTGAACTCCTACCTTGTGATTCACTTTTTGACTTAGAATATTCCGATGACATAGTTCTATTTGATGAAGACGCTGACAAAACGCGCAGTGTCTTCTGACCACTCTAAGCAACAATGCAAGCATGTTCGGGATGTGATCCTCCCCCTCGAAATGCAAAATGTTGTTTCAGGATTGAGTTGCATCGACACCCGAACTAATGATAGGAAGTGAAGTAGTTGAGCGTGTCGACTGCTTCACTTATCTTGGGGTTCTCATCAGCTCTTGTGGTCTGGTGTGCGACGAAATCGCAGCACGGATACAGAAGGGTCGACTAGCTTTTACCAACTTGCGTCATTTATATCGTAGGCGAGATATCCGTCTATCAATCAAAGGACGTGTTTACTGCGCAGCAGTTCGTTCCGTCCTACTTTATGGCAGTGAAACATTTTATTTATTTATTTGAACACATGAATATTGGTACAAGAGAGCGCCAATATATATGCGCCACACAAAACAATGAAAATTCGAAGAGAAGTACAAAAAAAAACTAAGGAGCGCAACAAAAAAAGAGAACAATAACGAAGAGATTGGTGTAGGGTAGTGTGGTAGTAACGAGGGAACGAAAAGGTGCAATCAGAAGAAATCTTTCAGGTAAGGGAGACACAACCACTTTTTATGAAGAAAGTAAATGAAGGTTAAAACAGCAGGATCGCCACTGGTCTTTATTCTGAGCCATATCTGATAACGTCTCTAGCCACTGTGTAGCACCATCTCTCAGACCCCAGCCAGGGAGTCGTGAAGGACCGACAGAAGCCAGCCCTTTGCAGCTTTCTTTCATACCACGACACCATGTCATACACTGACCACCTCTCCGCCTTTTCCAACTAGTCCCAGAGTCGGCAAATAATGCACGACGTTAAATTCTCAGGGACGACATTCGTAGATTATGTCCAAGTCACCGAAGTCGGTGTTTCAAGATGGTGATACCAATTGCCTTATCATCTCTGTGCCCGAACACACGATTCCGAACCTCTGCATTACTGACATGGCGTTGCCACTGAATGTCAGCGATCCTTCGGAGACAGCGATGATCGAACACAGAGAGTCGTCTAACGTCCTCAACTCGGAGAGGCCAGGTTTCACAAGCATAGAGCAGAACTGCTCTCACCGACGCGTTGTAGATCCGACCTTTTACAGCAAGACTAACATCACGAAGGCGCCAAAGGTGGCCCAGATTGGCATAAGCCGCTCTGGCTTTCACTATTCGTGCATTGATCTCATCACTCACACCCCCACTAGCACTTATGCAGCTACCCAGATACATGAACTTCTCGACTACTTCTATCTGTTCACCGTCTAGGGTGAGTACAGGATTGGACTCAGATTGATCACATCGCGATCAGCTACCGCTGGCGTGGTTGTGTACAAGACTGCCGCTCCTTTTGGAGTACCTATCTGGACTCTGACCATGCCTTGGTCTGCGCCAATCTTACCTTACTTTTCAGTGGCCAACGAAGTGACCGCCACCAACGAATTGATGTTAGCAAGCTGGTTGCAACTTCTGTTGCTAGTAAGTATCGAACCGAGCTAGTTTCTAGGCTAGCTACCATTCCACCGAAAAGTATAGATGAGCATTGGTTGCAATTGCATGACGCCATGAAAATGGTGGGTACAGTCAGTTGCGGGTACGCGAAACGTCCCGCCTATAAGCACTGGGTTTCTTCAGGCTCCTTACAACTCATTGAAGCCCGTCGGTCTACTCCGGGTGACCGTGAGTTTGACCATAAACGAAGGATGTCACGTAAGGAAATTGGGTAAAGCTTGCGTAAGGACCGAGAAGCCTGGTGGTCGAAGCGTGCTAATGAGCTGGAAGCAGCAACTGCATCTGGTAATTACCGGAAACTCTTCCAACTCATCCGAGCCACTGGCAGCAAGAAGTCTGGTGTGAGCGAAACAATCTGCGAGGATGATGAGATGCCAATCACTAACATCCGTCAACGTCTTGGACGGTGGGCAGAATTTTTCGAAGGGCAGTTCAACTGGCCTGCTGCT